ATACCTTGTTTTATTTTTATCTGTCTTCACTACCCTACATTCATATTATTGATAGAGATTTTAAAAGGAGTCACCTTCTCTCAGTATCTCCTACAACACCCCATAAAAAAGGGAACTGGATTTACTATTTGAGTAAATGTATATGAATTCATTAGTGGTCTCTGAGTAGGTCTTATGGTTGGAGAGGGTTTTCACTTCTTTCCTTTTGGCAGGAAAAACCTGTTCTCTGAGTCCTTGACACCCAGTACCAGGGCAGGCTCAGAGTTCAATTCCATGCCCGACAGCTTTATACAAAAATATTCTCTGAGAAATCCTTCTTACAGAGCTCTTCCCTACCAGCAATGGGAGAGTCCAGGAGCAGTTGTCTTCTGAGTCCTGAGCAATCTAAGAAATTTTTCTGGCCAGAAAAGCGGTACAAGCTCTCATTGGAAAATACACAATAAACTAGATAAAAAGCGCCTCCTCTCTGCTGCCTGGAGCCAGCACTGTTGCCTCCCTGGCCCACTTCCGATGCTGAAGCAGCGCGCCAGTGGATTGGGCAAATTACAGACAAGCTACTTAAAATAGTGTTAAAGGAGAATTTAAAATGTTTTTTTTCCTTCTCTTTGCGAAAGCAGTTTGCGACCTTAGAAAACCCTGTTTCTCTATACAACAGAACAGCAGTGATCATGTGGTAACAGTAGTGTCAGTTGCTTTCCATTTGTCAGTGCTAATTCTCGCAATAACCTTGTGGAATATTTATTATAATCACAGCACTCAGTTATCGAGGGCCCACTACGTGCAGGGTGACATAGAGGCAACTTCCTCTGATGCAGTTTTCAGAAGATCAAGGCTCGTAAAAGCTCCAGGGCCGCTGTCCAGTGCAAGTCCTGACTGGGGTCCCTTCCCGGGCTGTGGGGTGGCCTCCCACACTTGCCCCTGCAGCCCCCCTCCCTGCCTGCTAGGGTGACCCAGATGCATAACTCCAAGCACATGACAACCATGTCCTCGGTTTCCCATCAGAGAAGTTCACAGGCTCGCTGTGAAGTGAGCGAAGCTTAAGCTTCAGGAGCCCTCACTTTGAAGGCCTGGGAAGGGACCCTAACAACGTGTTCTGTGCTCACGTGCTTTTTGTAAAGTCTGCAAAAGCAAGATCTCCTACCTGCAGTAAGCTCTACCGTCTGCTTCTGCAACAGAACATACTTGTCTGCAGTCACTTGCATGTGTAGTGAGGCTATTGTTAATCACCCCCATGTAGAAATGGCTCCCAGTCTGTTTTCCTCTGCCCACTGAGGCAGCGTGCCCAGGATGTGACAGGAGGGCGTAGAAGCGGAGGTGTCACCATCGTCGGAAGGTCCTGGACAGCAGAAGAGAAATAAGGCTCGACATGTCCTGCGCCAGAAACTCATCTGCAGCAAACGCTTCATCCTCACATTGTGCGAAGTTATAGGCTGGGGACTCAGTTTTCCTGACGCCAGAAAAGCTGGGGAAATGCTGCACAGGTATGTCAGACTGTTCGTGAAACTTGTTTTCTCAGACACACTTCATTGCCCGCCCCTCACTGTCGTCCTCTCTCTCTGGAACGCTGTCCCCTCTGCACTGCATGTGACTGGCACTGCCTCTGTCTCCCGTCCTAGCTCAGGTCACCCCCTCAGGAAGGCATTTTCTGACCACGCAGTCTAAAGTAGAATCCCCCACTTCATCATTTTCTGTTTATTTCCTCAAGAATTTCTGTCAAATTCTGAAATTACCTCGGTATTTTCTGCCTTCCTCCCTCGGCAGTAAGTTCCATGAAATCAGAGACATTCTCTTGTTCGCTGTGTTGTTGGAGGACTTGTACAGTTGATTCTGAAATATTTGCTGAGTGAGCTATGAAGTGGCAGAGTTAGTGTTTATCTGACTTCAGAGATCAAAGGCTGAGCAGGTCCCAGTGTTCCAAGAACCCTCTGTGTTTGCCGCGGAGCATGGGGAGAGCAGATGCGCATGTGAAGCGCACAGCCTTCCTCCTCCGGCTCACCGGTGACGGAGAAGATCAACGGTAACCAAGAATCCAAACACCCTCTGCCATGCCGGAGACTTCAAATATTCTTTCATTTTGAACAAATTAAAAACATCAAAAATTAATTAGGCATGTTATGGAAGATTAAGCAAAGATTGCATCTCAAGTGAGACAGCTGTGGAACTGGAAATTACCAAATGATTTCCAATATTGAGACACTGGGACCAGGCAGCTTAGAATCAGATTAAAGATAATCAATTCCCTGGAACAATCAATGCCATCCATTACTTTCACCTTTAGAGGGAGCTTTCAGGATTACTGAAAGATTGCTCATCTGGTCTGTCTCCTTATCCATATAGAAAACTTGATGTGAATTAGTTTCCACAGGAAATGATGGGAAAGTGACCCCTGGCTAAACAAATTAATGGAGTGAATAATTAGAACAGACTCCCAAACTTACTAGGGAGGCAGCTCCATCTTGGTTTCATTGGAACTTTGCTTCCCTAACCACGTTATATTGCAGTTTATAAATTACAAATGAAAGTGACATGAATTTAATTGTGATTTCTCTTGTGTGCTTCTGAGAACTGGAATTTTATAATATTTCCTGATAAAAGTGGGAATAATCTGGGAACAATTAAACTGATAATCAGTTAAACTCTAAGATGGCTGTTCTCTAAGCCACAAATTTCTGGAGTGTTTGGATCTATACCTGCAATATGACTTGCTTTTGGTACTTATTTTTTGGTATAAATTCTACCTTTTTCACAGAATCAAACATTTGCAATTGTGTCTTGCAGATGACAAAATGAGGGCAGAAGTTTCTTTTTAAAATTCACAATAGTATGTCGCCTATGAAGATCACTTAATGCAATAACTATTTATAGATTTCTACTAAATCGTGTTCAGTTAGTATACAAATGTTGAGCTTCTACATATTAAGTAATTGGAAGTCTGCTGATGGGGCTTATCTAAAGAAGTTCATATTTGTCTTTGTTTTACTTCAGACATCATTTGTTTGCAGCTGTGGGATATCATTGACATAAAAATTGTGTGTTTTGATGTATAACTTGATATTTGTAAAGTTTCTGAAAGGATCCCCACAGTGAAACTGGTTAACAGATCCATGCCACGTACACAGGTACCATTTTGTGTGTGTGTGTGTGTTTTGAGATTTGAGATCCTTTTTGCAAATTAGAAGTATACAGTGCAGTTATATTTGTCTTTAAAAATTCTTTTATGATTTGTCACTCTCAGATGTAAATGTTTTCAACACTTAGGGAACATGGGATATTGTACTGAACTTTCTTAAGCTGGAAAACAAAATATTTATTTGTAACAGGAGCTGGTATTTGTCCAGGATACATTATAATATTACTCTGCTCTGTAGTGAATTAATGCTTCCCATTTACTTGTGTTTTCCTGTTGGTAATTAGGTCTCTGACATTGTGGTATGTATGCTGTTATTAAATTCTACTGAGACAGCTCAGTTTTATAAATGGTGTATATTTTTGTGGGATGATTTTATACACCACTACCTAGTTATTACAACCTAATAAAATACAGCCAATTATTTTTCTCCTAAAGCTCTCTACTTTAAAATATGTCTGCACTTTTACATTTCACGGCAGCTGTAGAAATAGTCCCTGAAAGAGATCTTTTACTTTTTTATCATTCCTTTCAAAGGACTGAATTTTAATAGTCTATCAATACTTGTGTTTTTTCCCCCTTTTAATCTGTGAAAATGCATTTAATTTGAGCAGTAAAATCGACAACATGCATTTTTATCTTGAACGTTTCAGTTTGGTTTCATCTTAAAGGCTCACAGCAGAATTTATCGCCAAGCCATAATGGAAATGCTGAATGGAAGATTTGGAGACTCTGCCCAGCTCCAAATTTAGCTCAGCTGACCCCGTTATAAAAAATAAGAGTCAACATCTATGTTGATATGAAAGACAACTCATTAGGTCACACCACTTGCAGATGACAATGTTTACTTTTGATTTCTGCTATTTATTTAGCCTTTGTAATTGCAAAAGCACCTCAGAGAGTAACTGCCACACGCATGGTAACGACCGCCACCCATGGAACACCTGGGCCCTGCGGGTTTGAAGGCAGCACTTTGCAGACTAGGGATGGGCCTGCAGAGAGAGGTTAAGTTTAGTTTTTGAAGGCGGGACACTCGGGTTTGCATTTCTGCTCACCGTTTTCTAGCTCACTAGCTTGGAGGTCTTGGGCAAGCTATTTAACATTCATTTACTCATCCACCAATCCATCTGAGCATCGACTGCATGCTCCATATACCAGGCACACGCCCGGGAAGAACAGACACAGCTGCCGGAGATCATTTTTTGTAGAGGGAATTAGACACACAGAAGGGGTAGCTAATTACAAATTGTGACAAGCGCGGTGAGGGACGGAGCAGGGGCAGAGTAACAGGCAGAGGGTGTGGAGGACCCAATATAGTGCTGTGACAGGAGTGAAAATGTCCTGGGAGTGTGGAGAAAGCCGTGGCTAGTGTGCAAGTGGCATTTGAGATGGGGCCGAAGAAAGGGTTTGCGTATTCGGGGGAGGGGAGAAGGAGTGGAATGTGCGAAGACAGGAACGTGTAACGAAAACAATCTTCAGAGGAGAGGGTGGTTGCTGATGCACCACAAAGACCATATGACAGTCTTTTGGTCAAATCTGAGAGTTGGTGGGCAGTTGCTGCTTTAGGGGACTTCCATAGGTGGTGGCCCCAGCAACAGCAGCGGTTGTCTGTGTCCTGTGCCCAGCCAGTGTCTCCTGGCAGCGAGAAGCGCCTATGTGCCCAGCCAGCCGCAACCATCACACGAGCTCAGCAACTGAGAGTAATCGGTGTATCCTAGGAAGAGTCATCCAAGACGCACCCATTACATTCTGTAATTATTCACTTGGATCTTAATGTGCCCAACAAATTATACACTTTGACTTTCACTTAAAAAATAACAACTGGTGTTTCTTTCAGGTTATGTAAATACTAATCGTGGTTCTTGTGGTTATTTTTTTTTTTTTACGCTTCACCAATTTGTGTGTCATCCTTGCTCGGGGGCCACACTAATCTCTGTATTGTTCCCATTTTAGTGCATGGGCTGTGGAAGCATGAGCTCATGCTTATTGACAGAGCTCTCTAGGGAGGTCGAGGAGTCCAGTTCTGCTTGCTGTGGCTGAACTGACAACCATTTAATTGTAGTTTTCCCGCTGCCAGGTACTGTGACTTTCAGCAGTTGTTCAGCCACTCGGTTCCAGGTCTCCTAGCTGTAGAAGCGCAATCGCTGTCAGGAGGAGTTGCATAAGTGTCTGTGTGCCCCATAAATTATTTATAGAAAAATAGAAACTTGCAATGAAGGGACAGTAAGTACTATTTTTTTTCCTGTGTAGAGGTGTCGTGAGTGACAAACATAGTCTTCACGTTACATCCCTTTTCTGTGGCTCCTTTCTTTAAATCCAGTTACACAGACTAATTTCAGTGGATTTTGTTTCTATTTTCCTGGTTATACTTGGACCCAGGGGGAAAAAATCAACCCGAATTTACTGTTAGGATTCTCTGCAACCAGGTTTAGGTTTTACAAAGCAGAACTCAGAGTGAAACTTCTGCTCACAGGGAATCTCAGGGGTGTCACCTCCATAAAACTCTCTGTGAAGAACCAGTGACACGCTCTGCTACCAAGGCTTAAAGGTAATTTGCCTGAATCTCTACAGCCAAATGAAGTTTGCTAATCAATTATGGACAGAAGGGATGAAACGGAGGGTGTAGCAGGGTGTGTGACGAGCCTGGCGCTGTTAGCATCAGTCAGCAGTGGGGTCACAAGTGTCTGGGGCAGATGGAGTCACTGGTAGTTACAGATGTTAATTGGTGGCAGCGTGAAGGGGACTGTTTCCCTGAATGAGGGTCAGTCCTCCCGTTTACCTACTTGGTATAAAGACGGAGAAACTGGCCCAGACGGAGGGCTGACCTGAGACCAGGCCTCCTGCAGGGTCGCTTGCCTCCCAGAGCCCCAGGAGGCCACAGGCTGCTGGGAGAGATCATTGGTGGTGGGTGACGTCATGGTTTTCTATCTGTGCGTCTGTCCACTCTCACTGCAGGCATTTTTCCTAGGTGTGCTAGGGCCCACAAAGGTTGCCGGAAGGCACATGGGACCTGCCTGTGACACTGGCTTCCGAACCTCCTAACTCCAGGGTTGCACTTGGCACCTGCAGGGCAGGGGCAGAGCAGGGGTCCAACTACAGGGAGCTGAGATGCGGCTGAGTAAACGGGGTGGAGCCAGAGAGGGTGGGACAGAGCTAGCTGAAAACAGGGCGGAGCTGAGGAAGCATACCTTTTTTTTTTAGTATATTGATTATTGATTATGCTATTACAGGTATCCCATTACAGTTGTCCCACTTTGGCTTCTGCATTTCCTATACAATTCTTTTTTTTAAAAATCTTATTTATTTTTAGAGAGGGGGAAGGGAGGGAGAAAGAGGAAAGATCAATGTGTGGTTGCCTCTCCTGCGCCCCCTACTGGGGACTGGGCCTGCAACCCAGGCAGGTGCCTTGACTGGGAATCGAACTAGCTACCCTTTGCTTCGCAGTGCGGTGCTCAATCCACTGAGCCACACCAGCCAGGGCTCCTATGCTATTCTTAACTACCCCTGCCCCTCCCCACCGCCTATTTTTGTACCTACAAGTATTTGTGAAGAAGCATATCTAGAAGCGGTCAGTGCGGGATGGGGCGGGGCCAATGAGGAGGGGCGGGGCTTGGCGGGGCTTGGGCGGGGCGACCGTGGCAGCTCCTCGCCAGCCTGGCTCCTCACCGCTCCGCTCCTTACGCTCCAGGTACCAGACGCCGCCGACTGGATCCGCTCGTGGCTCCATCCTCAGTCTGCTTTCCCGCCCGGCCGGTCGTGAGGCAGCTCCGGGGACGATGGCAGCGCGGGGGTCCCGGCCCGCGGTCCTGCGCCTCCTGCTCCTTGTCCCGCTGGTCTCCGGGCGCCGGGGTCCGGGCAGCGCGCCCGGAGGTGAGCCTGCGCGGCGGGGCTGTGGGCGCCGGAGAACCTGGCCGGCGGGGCGGACGGACGGCTGCGCTTTTCCCTGGGGGCCTGGCGTGAGGGGGCGGGGGTCCGCTGGAATGCCCAGACGGTGACTGAAATGAAGGGAAAGGCCGCTTTGCGTGTCCCCTGACAGGCCTCGCGGGGCTGCGAGGGGACAACTTTGTCAGTCAGTCAGTCAGTCAGGGACGCGCCCGGTTGCGCTTGGAAACCCGCCCTTTTGCCCAGAAGCGAGTGAGGAAGTCGCGGGTGCGCGGCGCAGAGCCGTGTCCCAGCCTTCCCCGGGTGGCGCGTTTCCCACGGGGACAGAGGGGGCTGAGGACTCCGTCACATGTCAGCTTGGCGTGCGTGGGGCCCCTGAGGTGGGAGCTCAACGTAGACCAGGGGAGGCAAAACTGACGACAACGGTATTTCTGTTTGTTTGTTTGTTTTCATTGCTTTTAGGGGGAGAGGGAGGGAGGGAGGAGGGAGGGGGAGAGAGAGATCAGTTGCCTGTCATACACGATCGAGCCGCCCTGACCCGGAATCGAACCGGCGACCTTCGCTCTACAAGATGATGCTCCAACCAACTGAGCCACACCCGCCACAGCAGTAACTCTGTTTTTATATGTGAAGTTCTTGAAAAGAGGAAACATTTGAGTATAAGAACTCTTTCCTTGTTTCTCTCTCACACTGATTTTTTTTTGTAAAGAACTCTTTCTGGTCTTTCCTCCCTTAAGGTTTTTAAACGTTGGTTTCTGATTCCAGAAAGCAAGAATCTTGAGTAGAATTATGTATTGCGGATTGCATTGCTTCGTGTAGACTGAACAGGAGGTAATGTGGAAGGCATTTTAAGCAAATAAAGAAAGTCCTGTGCAGGGAGAGTCGTAGTTTAACAGAGAAAAAGGAATGTGACTCCGCAGCTAGACAAAGCTGGGCTCACTTTATGGCTCCCCACGTGACTTGGACAAGCTTCCTTCTTTTAGGAAAAGTGGGGACGATACGACCTACCTCTGCGTTGTTTTCAGGATTCAGTAACATGTATGAATTTCCAGGTGCTGTGCCTGACATTCCAGCACAGCAAAAGGGGTAGTTCTCTACCCCTTTTGGTGAAAGGGGAGCTTTTCCCATCTCTCTTAATATGAGACACGGCTGAGCGTTAAAGAGTGTGAATAGCTATCTGTTCATGTGTGTGTCCAGTGTTCTAGTGAGAGGTGATCACCTCCTCCTTTCTGCCCCCACCCTGCTTAGTGACCCCCTCTTGTAATAACCTTCACATTACATTACAGTCGTGTGGCCTTTCCCTTGGTCCAATGCGAGCTCCTTCAGAACAGCCGTTTATCCTGCTTGTCTTTGTACCTGGAAGGTGTCACCTACTGTAGGAGTCCATCAATGTTTGTGGATGAATGAATGGGCTGTAGTGTCCTCAGCTGTGAAATGAGGGGTCGGCAAAGGCTCCCTGCTCTTAGTCAGCCACCAGGTAAAGAACAAAGTGATGTCGAATAGGTGGTGGATGACACAGTGCTGCTAAATGCCATAGGCTTTCCTGTGACATTCCCTTTGAATGGAGGAGGGTGGCTGCAGTCCGGAGGCCTGTCATTATGTTTTCCTGGGTGAGTTGCTTGACCTTGCCGCTCCTTTGTGTCTCCCTCTTGAAAATGAGAGGGTACTGGGAGATGGTTCTTAGGTCTTTCAACCATGATTGCTTTTACGTTTACATTTTCTTCATACTCAACTTAGAGTCTTAATAATAGCTCTTCCTTATGGTTTTTTTGTGAACCAGTCTTCAGGAAAAGGGAATGTCTAATCTGCCAGCAGCCGTTTGGCTGTGAAAGGTGGATCAGGAGGCACTTTTGCCTGTCATAAAGAATAGATAATAAGCCGTTACATTAAGATAATACAGGTCATTTATTTATTTATTCATTCATTCAATTAGCAATAATGGTGCCTTGGACAAACCTCATTTGCTACGATACTGCCACTGCACAAAGCTATAATAATGCAGGTCTTTTAAACAGATCTGGCTGTGATTGGGGGAGTGACATATGGAAATTAGGGAGTCACAAGTCAGTTCTACTTCTTAACTTTTAGTTCTCTGAAATTTTAAATGATTGAAACTTTATTTTTATTTATCAAATATTTTCTTTTTTATTTCTGAAGAATTTATTATTTTTAGAGAGAGGGGAAGGGAGGAAGAAAGAGAGGGAGAGAAACATCAATGTGTGGTTGCCTCTCACACATCTCCATTGGGGGACCCGGCTCACAACCCAGGCACATGTCCTCATGAGACTCTGACCCGCGCCCTTTTGGTTTGCAGGCTGGTAGTCAATCCACTGACCCACACCAGCCAGGGATAGAACAGATTTTTTTAAATGGTTCTCTTCTGCTTTGTGACTAAATTTTTAAAAAATTCATTGATATTGAGAGAGAGAGAGACAGAGAGAGAAATAAACATCGATTTGTTGTTTTACTTGTTCATGCATTCATTGGCTGATTCCTGTGTGTGCCCTGACCAGGGACTGAACATGCAATCTTGGTGTATTGGGACGATGCTGTACTAACTGAGCTACTTGGCCATAGCTGAACTTTTGATTTATTTTTACTTCTTTTCCTCTGTGTCAGGGTTTCTCAACTTCTGGGGCTGGATAGCTCTTTGTTACAGAACACTTTCCTGGGCTTTGTAGGCTGTGTGGCAGCATCCCTGGCCTCCATGTATAAGATGCCAGTGGCACCCACCAAAAAATGTCTCCAGTTATTGTCTAATGTGACTTAGGGAACAAAATTGCTCCCCTCTTAGCGCCCCCCATCTTTTCCACCTTGAGAATCACTTCTTCAAGTCTTGTGGACCAGGGCTTCTCAAGCTGTTGGGGCACCAGTGTCCCCTGGGGCTGTGGTGAGAGAGCAGGTGCTAGGTAGGCTGGACGTGGGGCTTGAGACTCTGCCTGACAAAGCACCTAATAAGGCGCTTGTTGTGGGTTGGAGCCACACACTTTGATAGCACAGTTGTAAAGAAGTTTCCTATTCACATCAACTGGGTGGATCGTCAAGAGGATCTGATGACAGCAATTGTGGAAACAGAGAGTTTATAATAAAGCTCAAACAGCATTAGACCAATAAAAGTAATAAACAGCATTCCACTGTCCTGACAAATAGCACCTATCATCACGTTTCCAAGTTTCCATCCAGCCTTCAGTGTTCACTCACTGGATGGTGCTAGGGGGGAACTTTGCAAGTCTCATCAAGGTCAGGTAGGTCATAGGAACCGAGGCAATTTCATGTGCATTCAGGTGTTTCAGTTCATAATACTGAAAACCTGCAAACTCCTAATACATATTTATTGCCTATGGAGAAGTTTATGATATCAAGCTATGGTAGTGAACTCAGCACTTGCTTAATCTGATGATGCTCACACTTTTTCTAAAAAGTGTGCAAATTGTCGCCTCTCCTTGAGAAGTATTGACTGGACCTAAATTTAACTGCTTGGAGTCACTTTCTCACTGCAAGTGTTCTGAGTCAGGGCAAGAAACCTACTTTAAGTAGGTTTCCTAAAGCATGTTCACCACAGAGAAACTTTATTCTATAATTCTGTGATAAAAATCAATAGAAAAATAATGAAAATCCCAGAGTGGAAAAAAACTCTCTGCATTTCATCTATAATTCTTAAAATAATGATTGGTAAGCATAGTTATTTGTCACATTGAAAATGTTGGATGTAGTGCACATTTCTACTCAGTTACAAAACAGTTGATTATGTTCACTGCTGTATCTTTCTGATGCTTAAAATAGCCCTCCGAGGGCTGCTACAAAAGGACTTTTTAAAAAGGGAATACAAGTCATTTTTTTGTTAACTTAAAAAAAGGTACAAGGAGACTTGGAAGGGAGAATTAACTGCTCCAGGAGTGCCTTATTTATGTGCTGGGTATATGTAACATTATACCACCCTGATGAAACTTATTAGATATTTTTACTTTATTCTTATTACAGATGGTGAAGAAGAAAGGGAAGGTTTTGGGCAGTAACTAGCAAGAGGTAAAATGGATATATCCTTGACTCAGCAGTTCCACTTCTAAGAGTCAGTGCCATACATTCTCATATAGTGGACAATAGCTGTACAAGATGTTAACCAGGGCATTTTCCCATTGAGGCATTGTTAAAACAACCCCAAACTTAGGACTATATTAATGCCCCTCAGTGGTGAAAGCTTACATAAATTAGAAAAAACCCATAACCCAGACCACTGTGCAACTTAGGAAGAAAGACTGGAGATGGGTAGACGTACACTGATACAGGGTATTGATGAAAACAGCAAGTCCTAGAAATTGAAAAGAAAACCTTTGTTTTTCCTCTATGTGTGCATTTGAAAGTGTCTACACATCACACTCAGCAGTGGTTACTCTCAGAGGAAGGGGGCCAGGAGGCCGGAGGGAGAAGTGCTCTTCTTCCTGTGCTTCTGGTCAGAATCTTCACAGTGACCACACTTTACTTTCATGATTAGAATGGGATACCAGCAGTTCTCAGCCAGGGGCAGGTTTGTTCCCTCCCCTGCCCTCGTGACATTTGGCAATGTCTGGAGATGTTTTCTGATTGTCACATTTCAGGGGGACTGTATGTAGTGGATAGAAGCCAGGGATGCTGCCAAACACCCTGGAACGCACAGGGCGGTCGCTCCGCAACAGTCATCCCACTTTTTTCAACACTTCTTGATAAGGAAATATGATGTTTCATAGGGGAATGCCAATAGGGGACACCGTCTTGTCTTATCTTCCTAGAATTTGTTCTAAAAACCCTGAGCTATCTCTGCAATTACATACTGAATTTAACGGAGAAGACATTAAAAGAATGCTGTACACTACCTAGATACTACCCTACTTTGTAAGATAATTTATTTCATTTTATCTGCATAATAGTGAAGCAGCAAAGCAGAAGTTGTCCTTTTTATTAATGTTCTAGACTGAAAAAATTCAAACATACACAAAATGTTCAAGTATAATGAAGAGTTCTTGCCATATACTTTTCAGAATTATTGACATTTTGCTACTAGATAACCTTATTTATGTAGATTAGAAAATTGTGGCATGTGCAGGTTAACAGCTAATTAGAGGTGCCAAGATTCAAATCAAGGTTTTTAGCTGTGCAGTCCTTTGTCCTTTCTTCATCACCATACTGAAACATTTGGGAGGTAAAATCGGTGTTTTCTGTTGGACTGGAGATGTAACCACAAGTATAACCAGTCTTTGCCTATGGCATCTAAAACTTTTAAAATTCTGTCTTAAAAAAAAATTCCTGGGCTTTAAGCTCATTTTATAAAAGTGTACAGCAAACAAAGGTAGGACAAATCTGAATAATGTAGTCAATATATATTTGTATGTTAAATAATGTAAATTAAAGCATGTTTAGTTTACATTTACAGTTGATAAATGAACTTTACTGTCATGTATCTGTTTTCTAGGTTTGAAATTTTATGTCAAGTAACCCCCTAACCTTGATAATTTAAAGGCTTTTGTTACTTAGATTTTACATAACTCTGCATATATATGTGTGTGTGTGTATAGATATAGATACAAACTCTGATGCTTCTTACAGAACTCTGCATGTTTCCATGTGAGTAATCTAATTTAACTAAGAAATGTATCTGAACTGGAGTGTTCCTTATTGATCACAAACAATTGTATTAATATTTCATTTTAAAAGTATTATAATAATAGCCTAAATAATAGTTTGGTTCACTAATGATGATGACTTTTTTTTAAGTTGAAGTATTTGTAGGAAAGAAGCCAGTACACTAACTTTTAAACATTTGTTATACAGGATTAGCTGAACCATTCTTTGTTGCAAAACATGAAGATAGCTTGTTTAAGGATTTATTCCAAGACTATGAAAGATGGGTTCGTCCTGTGGAACACCTGAATGACAAAATAAGAATAAAGTTTGGCCTTGCAATATCTCAGCTGGTGGATGTGGTAGGTGTGCATGTCATTGTGTGTTCAATTTTACAGTCCTGTGTAGGTGTGGTAGCTCTGTGGAACCTCGGTGTACAGGATGGCCATGCAGCCTTCCCAGGCCTCCTTCTTCCTTCTGGGTCATTCACTTGCTGTTGGGACAGGACAGGGGATGGGTGCCCTGCAGTCTGCTAAGCTATTTACACTTCCGTCTTCTCCCCCCACCGACTGTAGGGACCCCAGGCACTCTAGAAATGTAGGGTGTACAAGCTTCACGATGCTGCCCCCAGGCCGTGGCCTCAGCATGATTCCTACATAGCAGCTTCACAGAGATTCAGATCTGTACCTCCATGGAGGCAAATAATGACGTTGCAGTCACTCAGGAATGCACTGAAACACTTATGTTGCTAAGATGCACACTCTCCTCCATTTTAGCTCCTCTGAAATCAAGGTGTGTCTTACAATCAGCGGCAGTTCACAAGTCATTGTCAGCCGGGTTCTCTCTTAGTGCTAGGCACATGAGGTAACACTGCTTATTTATCAGAGATCATTGTGTCTTAGATTTGAGGGCATGTGGTGGTTGAGATGATGAATATTAAATCTAAAAAAGGCCGTGGTACATTTTGGGGCAGTTTATCTGAGATACAGAGTATGCTGAAAGGAATACTGTGAAATTAGCCTAGAAAAAAGACCCTGCTTTTCTGGAGAGCTGGACTGATTAACAGAATGCAGGAACTGTATTGGGAGGAGTGTTTATATAAAATGAAAAAATCCATTTTTAAAAAATTATTGTTTGTGTAATTGGAGTAATCAACCTTATTTAGATTTTTGTTTTCTAGGATGAGAAAAATCAGTTAATGACAACAAATGTCTGGCTGAAACAGGTATGTATACAATTCAAAGGCCACCAAACTAGTGAGGAGCCACTATGATTTCAGGGTCTGCAGCACAAAGGGACATGCATGAGGCTCCAATCTTGGTGGACCAGCAGGATGCAGATGGGCGAGGTGCATGGAGCTCTTGTATTTACTCAGTTGATATTTTAGTGCCAGACTCTAGGGAAAGAGCAGTGAATAAAACAGACAAAAGTTCTGTCCTCACACAACTTCATTCCAGTGGGGGGAAAATAAATAAGTTGTCTAGTACCTCAGAGGCTGATAAGCTTAGGGAAATATACTCCGGGGTCTGTATTTTTCAATAGGATGGCCTGGGAAGGGACCAGTGAGAAGGTAAGGTTTGAACAAAGGCTTGCAGGATCAGAAGAAACCACGAGACTGTCTGGGGGAGGGGTGTCAGGCAGGGGGACTCACAAGTGCAAAGGCCCTGAGGCTGGCGTTTGCCTTTGTGTTTGCCTTTGTGTGTTTATGGAGCAGCAAGGAGGCTTATGTGGCTAGCGGTGAGAGAGCCCTGGGGAGGAGGGCAGGAGGCGAGGTCAAGGGGACACTGGCAGGCTGGCCACTCAAAGCCTTTGGCCTTTACAAACATGCGAATGGGCAATGATGGATTATTTCCATGTACCTGGTCCCTTTTATGTAAAGGACTTCTTTTTTTTCTTTCTGGACCATCATGCATATGTTCCCTAACCCCTAACTCCTAAAAGGCACGTGTGTTTTCTCGGGGTGCAAGTCTCCATTTGATGTGATCACATCGTTGTTACTGTGTGGAGGTTGGACAGGGTGTTTCAATATGTGGAACGTGTGATAAATGCAGCAGCTCTTTGTGTGGTCGAGTTGGGCTGATCTGGAAAAAACAATGTTTCCCTTGACCCTGGACCACAGATGCCCGTGGCTGCCACTCTGGGGCACGGCTAGTGGTTGGAGGAGGGTGCTGGGTGGAGCCATGAGCCGCTCAGCCTGGGCCTCACTGTGTCTCATGGGGACCCCGCATGAAGCCACTGGACAAAGAGACAGGAAGGTGCCAGTGCACGAATATGAGGTAGGCCTTCTCTGTGCAGAGAAGACGTGATCTCATGTCTAAAATTTCTGCACTTGGCAAAAGTAGTACAGTTTTCAGTACTTCTGATTATGAATGTCATTGAAACTGAGGCTGTTCTGTTTGTCCCAAAGGAATGGAGAGATGTAAAGCTCAGGTGGGACCCCAATGACTACGGAGGGATCAGAGTCATACGAGTCCCTTCAGACTCTCTCTGGACCCCAGACATCGTGTTGTTTGATAAGTAAGTTATGTTCAAAATGCCATTTCATGTTTCAAAAGGAAACACTTATATGTCTACTAGGCACTAGTGATGTTTTCTTCCTTTTGAAAATCATTTAGCTATAAAGTCAAATGACTTGATTTTACTTCAATTCTTTAGTTTCAGATAGGTTCTGTGGGTCTTCTCTTTTCTCTGTATGTGTCCGTTCTTTTCTGATCATAAAAGTGTGCTCTGATTTCTAAAATCTGTAGAACGTCAGGGGAGTCTAGAACAGTGTAAGGAGGCAGGAGGAGAGGCGGTAATTGGTCCTGTCTTCTAGCGCTTCCTGGAATCACAAGTGCACTGAGCTCACTGTGCCTGGTGGCGAGCTCAGCGCTGTGTGTGCAGCTTGTGCAAGTGTGTCAGGACCTTCCCAAGCTGCCATTACATCTATTTGACAGGTGAGGAAACAGATGCCAAGGATGGTCATACCTTGTCCGAGATCACACAGGCTGAGGGTGGCAGGGCGAGTTCTCACGAAGGAGGTCTGACAGCCCCGCTTACCCTCTTATGTACCAGGCTCTGGCAGACTGGCAGACTGCCTCCCAGCTCTTTTCATATGTTTTTCTAATAGTCCAGGTCATACTTTACGTTTAAATGTGCATCCTTTTAGTTTTGCTTAAATAGTGATTGTAATTATCCCATGGTGAGGAATGTTAACACAGTTTCACAGGCACCCTCCCTCGATGTGTTTGAGGACAGTTTTTAACTTGCGGAGAGGGTACCTCTGGGTGCCAGTCTCATTTTTTTCTAGGACCACTCCAGGGCACACCTGGGAATTTGTGCTTATCCTCAAGTACTTTGTATTATTTGCAAGAAGGCATTTGGCACAAAGACAAAGTACATGCTGTGCAAAAATATCTTTAGTTTTTTAAAACTTTTACTTCCACACTTCTCAATATGTAAAGAGCAAACCAAGTGTAAGGTAGCATGGTTCAGCTTCCTGGAGCACCCTTTTACTTTAAGTAATTGCAAACATTTTCACATTAAACATAGATATATTACAGAGTGCTTTGTAAAAGTCACATGAATTTTAAGATACAGAATATTTCAAAGAAATCTTATGTTGGTGGGCAGTTTCCTGCTACTTTTTCCAGAATATGAATTGCGCAGCCCAGCACGGGAGGCATCGCTGTTTGTCAGCGTTGTGGCCAGCTTGGTGCTCCTGTGCTTTACCATCAACATGCCAGCTTCCGGCGTTTGTCCTGGATGGAAGGGCGCTGTGCTGGGAGTCCAGCATTCAGGTTCTGGCTCCGGGCATGTCCGTTGTTTAAATAGCCTGATTCTATTTTGTGTGTAAAGTGAAATCTTTTCAACCATGAAAATGGTGGGATTCTGTGAGTTGTAGATCTGTCTGTCAGTCCTGGCATAGATGTTTAAGATGTTCTTAAAGCAGAGTCCCTGCACAAGCATGCATATCTCCAGTGTAACAATTTAAGGAGTATTTCATACTGCAATACAGGCTGTCTTTTATATTAGGCTGGTAAGATATGCGCTTGTGTTGTTTAGTTCCCACATTGTTATCTTGTGTGTGTGTTTCAGTGCAGATGGGCGTTTTGAAGGGGCCAGCACGAAAACCGTTGTCAGGTACGATGGCACTGTTACCTGGACCCCACCAGCGAACTACAAAAGTTCCTGTACCATAGATGTCACATTTTTCCCATTCGATCTCCAGAACTGTTCCATGAAGTTTGGTTCTTGGACTTATGATGGGTCACAGGTGGACATAATTCTAGAAGACCAAGAAGTAGACAAGAGGGATTTTTTTGATAATGGAGAGTGGGAGATTGTAAGTGCAACGGGAAGCAAAGGGAACAGAACCGACAGCTGTTGCTGGTACCCGTATGTCACTTACTCGTTTGTGATTAAGCGTCTGCCTCTCTTTTATACCTTGTTCCTCATTATCCCCTGTATTGGGCTCTCGTTTTTAACTGTACTTGTCTTCTATCTTCCTTCAAACGAAGGTGAGAAGATTTGCCTCTGCACTTCAGTACTTGTCTCTCTGACTGTCTTCCTTCTGGTTATTGAAGAGATCATACCCTCCTCTTCAAAAGTAATACCTCTGATTGGGGAGTATCTGGTGTTTACCATGATTTTTGTGACTCTGTCAATTATGGTGACGGTCTTTGCCATCAATATTCATCATCGTTCTCCCTCAACACACACTGCTATGGCTCCGTGGGTCCGCAAGATATTTCTCCACAAGCTTCCAAAACTGCTCTGCATGAGAAGTCATGTAGATAGGTACTTCACCCAGAAGGAGGAGACTGAGAGGAGTATTGGACCAAAATCTTCCAGAAACACATTGGAAGCTGCACTTGATTCTATTCGATATATTACACGACATGTCATGAAGGAGAACGATGTCCATGAGGTCTGTGATATGTGGTATTACAAATGCAGGTCATGACCCTTCTAGACTAAGCATAGATCGAGGACCAGAAATGTTGGCATACATTCTATAAGAGACCCTTACTACAATCTGTGCCAGTTAAAATATCCACAGAATGGGGCACCTGTACACATCCCATTTCTCAGATCCCATGGGGCATCTCGGATGATTTAAAAGAAAATTTAGCCCTGGCTGGTGTGGCTCAGTGGATTGAGTTCAGGCCTGTGAACCAAAAGGTTGCCTGTTTGATTCCCACTCAGGACACATGCCTGGGTTTCAGGCCAGGTCCCCAGTAGGGGGCGTGCAAGAGGCAACCACACATTGATGTTTCTCTACCTCTTTTTCTCCCTCCTCCCCCTCTCTAAAAATAAATAAAATATTTTTAAAAGAAAACTTAGTGTTGTGCTGACTGTTCTAATATTCTAAGGAATGATAATCCTGTCACATGCTTTGAGGCTGGTCTCGTCTGCTCTTCCTCGGCCACTCACACCTGCTGAGCCAGCTGCCTGTTTAGGCTGTAAAAACGGGGACGGTGTGAGCTGCCCGGCAGCAGATCTTGTTCTTGTGACCTTGGACTAAAATGGCCCTAGGAAATCTGAAACTAAACCAAGCAAGTGAGGGGTGGGGAAGATTAAATTGAGGAGGTATTATTCTGAGTCGACTTTTAATTTGGCATGAAGTTAACATCAGGCTGGGTTTCCTTTAAAAATTAAAATAAGTAAAACAGCTGGGTAAGAATCAGGAACAGAAATAACTGCATGTATTAAGAACAGAAGAGATTATTTTGTTTATGACAAAGTAATCAAGTAATATAATATTCAAAGTTTTATTAAAAGTTATCAAAATAGCCACTTGTAAAATATTACACACTGATGTGTAAATGACACTGTGGTGAGCCTGGGAGAGCTCGCAGGGGCCCTGTTCTAATGGTGAGGGTGGGATTTGTCCCTGAGCTCCAAGCTCAGGGTCACTTCCAGTTTCCAGGCAGCAGTGGGCGTCACAAACTGATTTGGCCTTAATTCAGTGTGTTATATCTTACAATAATTACACAGTGTTAAATTATGTGGTTAATGTGTTTTTTTGTTTGTTTGTTTTTTGTTTTTGCAACAGGTTGTTGAAGATTGGAAGTTCATAGCCCAGGTTCTGGATCGGCTATTTCTGTGGACTTTTCTTCTGGTTTCAGTTGTTGGCTCTCTTGGGCTTTTTGTTCCTGTGATTTATAAATGGGCAAATATAACAATTCCTGTTCAAATTGGAAATGCAATTAAGTGATGCTTCCCTAGGGGTTGTGGTAGGAATTCAGATACCAAAAGGCATATACACCTTATGGCACCTGTAGACTTCTGAAAATGTCAATTGTGTTTCAAATTTCATGCAAGCTTTAACAGAATAACAGTTGCTCATATCAGTTTATCTTAATAGATGGCCCATCTGCATGAGTAAAGTAACAACTAACTGAGTACCATTTGGTCTTCTAAAAATAGCAGGAAAATATTATCTGACCTATACTAGTAAAGCTCTAATGTTTTTATCCTGGCTAATAATACTTTGTAATTTGTAATATTTGTAATCAACAGCGAAGTTCATATTTTAATGCACTGGAAAATGCCTGTTGTTTTTGAAGATGGACTTCAAAACTTTTCCTGCGTTTGGTAAAGGTACACATTTCTAAATTCCTTCTGTCCCACATCTACTGGGGAACATTCAGTCTGTAGTACAATGTTATATTGCTATATTAGATAAGCTGACTACTTAGTAGGATAATGATTGACTATGATGCTGATTTCTATAACCAGAATTAAAAAAAAGTAAAAAATGGCAATTGGGAACTCCTTTAAGTCCTACTTTATTCTTCAGATGCTTAAACTGAATAATTTTTATGTTATTTTCACAGCTCACTTTGTTGTGAAATCATACAGCAGACTGCTCCCGTGGACATGCAGTGGCATATCTTTAACGTTAATTTCAATCCTCTGTCCACATTTTCCACAATTAGTAGAACCATCTTCTATACAAATTGTGGTAACATCTCTTCATCCTTCATCTTAGAAGAGTCCATAGTAATTAAGTGAATCCCATTTTAAAAACATGTTAATGGATACTGCTAAATTGTTCCGTGAGAAAATTATCTTCTAAAATTAAAGATGGTAGTCTAATTCAGTATGAGCACATCTAACATTTTACATACCTGTGAAGTTTCCATTTTATCTCTTTAATTCCAACATTTACAATAGTAGAATCTGAGAGTTGCAAGGACTGTTAACAGTAGTGTAGTCTTAGCCTGTTGCTACTTATGCAGTATAGTATCATGGATCACAGGTAAGCAAGTTAAATTTCATCTCTAAATGTTTCTGAATTAGCTATGACCAAGAAGAATACACCAATGGAACTTTTGTACTTGGTCTAGAACTTTTAGCTCTTGAGAGGACAAATGCCTTATTTGTTTATAGTATGTTATCCACCTGAGTTCAAGTGAATGCTTGAATCTGTCTTTTCTTGTAGGTAGGCATTTAATTCCATTTAATAAGTGAAAGTCAGGTTTCATTCATTCATTTACATTGCCTGTTAGCTATTCAGCATGTATGACGTCTGTCCAGAAAAAGTCCCACCAGGCCTGTCTAGGAATAGTCCAGCCATCAAGAACGTTTGCGCTACATTGATGTAACCTGGTAAGCAAAGAGAGAGTGGACTGGAATGTGCATGTGTGAACAATGACAACTTCACTATACTAGTCAGTGGGGATAGTAGATGCCATTGAATAAACATGTATACTATGTGGCTGTTGCATTCAAAATGACTGAGCAAATAGAGCAATGAATCTGCATCAGATTTTGTGTTAAGCTTGAACGTTCCTCCGTGGGAACTATTTGGATGATTCAGGAGGCTTCCAGGGAGGATGCAATGAGTGTAGCACAAATAAAACTGTGGCACAAATGCTTCAAAGATGGTCATGAATCTGTTGAAAGTGGTTCACGTTCTGGAAGGCCTGCAACAAGCAGAACACCTGAGAATGTTGAATGTGTACAGGCTTGCAATTGACAGAGATTGGCGACTGACAGTGTGAGAACCAGAAGCTGACCTGGGGATTCTAAGAACTAGTGTGTCCGAGATTTAGATGCAGGATCTTGGCATGAAACGTATCGTGGCAAATTTATTCTGCAGCTTCTGCTACCAGAGCAGAAGGACCCTCATGCTGCAATTACTAGTGTCTTGATTCAAACTGCTACCAATGAGCCAGATTTTTTCAAGATGATCATAACCAGAGATGAATCTTATCAACAGAGTAAGGAGGTAACCCACAGAATGGAAGAAAACACTTGCAAATCACATATCTAATAAGGGATTAATATATAGAATATATATGGACCTCAAATGTAACAACAGAAAAAACAAACAAACAAACAAACAAACAACCTGATTAAAAAATGAGCAAAGGACTAAAACAGACATTTCTCCAAAGAAGATCTATGAATTGCCAATAAGCACATGAAAAGATGCTCAACATTACTAGTTAGGGGAATACAAATTAAAAGTACAATGAGATACCACCTCACCCCCATCAGGATGGCTACTATCAAAAAAACCCAGAAAAGTGTTTGCAAGGATGTGAAGAAAATGGAACTGTTGTGCACTGTTGGTGGGAATGTGAAATGCTACAGCCATGGTGGAAATAGTATCCTCGAGAAGTTAAAGATAGCATCATCATACACCCAGAAGAAGTGAAAGCAGGATCTTAAAGAGATATTTGTACACCCATGTTCACAGCAGATTATCCACAATAGGAGGGGAACAACTCAAGTATCCATCGGTAGATAAACGAATAGAAAAATGTGTCTCTACAGACAATGGAATACAATTAAGTCTTAAAAAGGAAGGAAATCCTGCATTATGCTACAACGTGGATGCACCCTAAGGATATTATGCTAAGTGAAACAAGCCAGTCACAAGAAGAAAAATACTATATGATTCCACATGTATGAAATATCTATTAGTCAAACTCAGAGACAGAAAGTAGAATGGTGGTTTCCAGAGGCTGGGGGAGGGGAAATAAGGAGTTATTGTTTAATGGGTATATAGTTTCAGTTTTACAAGATGCAAAGAGTTATGGGAATGGGTAGCGATGATGGTTGCACAGTAATGAAAATGTCACTGAACTGTGAAAGTAAAAATGCCTCAGATGGTAAATTTCAGGTTAAGTGTGTTTCACTGCAATTTAAAGACAAAGAGCTCCCACCCAGTGTGCCCCAGGGTCAGTGCTTAGGCGTCGTCCCTGGCCATCAAGGGCTGTAGAAACAGCCCGGCTGTCCCTAAAATGCAGACCAGGATGAACACCCACAGGAAAATACGGTCGATCACCATGGCTACATATTTCCAGTCGTCTTGAATCTGAAAAATGAGAACAAAAATCACGAAAGAGGAAAAAACAAAGCAGGAAGGAGAAGACAGCGTGAATGCATTTTCACTCCTGAATGTTTAATAAATACATTGCAGCTGTTCCCACTGAAATGCAAGGAACTGTTCTTCCCATCAATGTAGTCTGAGGAAATGTGCCATTCCCATCTCTCTTTAGGCACTAGAGAAATAAAACTACTTGTCATGTAGCTTTATTTTTTAATTAAATATTTATTGTATTTTTCCATTACCATTTAGTCCCCTTCAACCCTCTTCCTCCTTGTGTTGCTTTAAATCAGAAATTTCTTAATATGTATGGAACCTATTTTTTCTAACTAGAATTCCAATTTTTTAAAATTATTTTATTTATTTATTTTTAGAGAGACGTGAAGGAAGGGAGAAAGAGAGGGAGAGAAACATCAATGTGTAATAGAAACATAGGTTGGTTGCCTCTCGCATGCCCCCAACCATGCCCCCAACCATGCCCCCAACTGGGGACCTGGCCCACAACCTAGGTATGTGCCCTGGCTGGGAATCGAACCGGAGACCTTTCACTTTACAAGCTGGTGCTCAATCGATTGAGCTACACCCATCAGGGCTGAATTCCAATTTATAGTTAGTAAAGTCAGTTAGTTGCCTTCCACCTCTGTGGAGGATCCTGGACCTTTGTTGGAATAGCGAATACTATCCAGCATCATTTACCATTGTTTCAAAGTATGAGTTCTTACCCAGTTTTAGATATAATTTCCTTTCAACAGCCAAAAATGAGATCAGTGTATCAGGGCAATTCCATAATTATTCTCCCTCTGTCCCTCTGCCCCCCCTACCCTGGCAATGCCCAAAATAACCAGGCTACCAGTCCATATTATGGGGTTCTGTAAGGTTATAGAACAGGCTGAAAATGAGGAATAGTTGCTGATAGCAAAGTAAAAGACAGAAGAAAGAGCAGGGCTTATTGTGTACAATAAGTCTTCGACTGATGCTGGAAATGAGAAGGGGACTATACATTCATTGTCCTCCCAGACAACTTGGACAGCAGTGGAACCGTAATTGAATTGAGAAGAGAGAACCCATGAATCAACTGATTTGAAAGAAATAATTGCATGACAAAGAGGTACCATGGATGCAGTAATTTAATTAAGTGACCAAAATGGGGCTGGGAGACAGGATGGGTTTCACCATGATGAGCTGGGATAAACATGTCCCCTTGATGATACTAAGAAGTCACAAGTAAAATTGGAATGACACTGTATTTGCCACAAGGTAATATATTTGAATTCCTCAGATTCTGGTTTGTAAGTGCTTCCAGTACACAGTAGGCCCTGCGATTTCCTCCCAGTCTTTGCTGGGTGAACATCTTCAGGCCTGGGAGAGGGGATGGGGAAGCAGAGGATTGGAGACAGACTGATCACAATCCCAGCTCCACTCCTTGTTAGTCATGAGTTCTGGGTAAGTTATGTGACCTTTCTTAGCCTCAGTTTCCTCATCTATAAAATGGGCACAAGAATGGTACCTACCACATAGGGATGTTATAAGGATTAAATGAACAGATGTGCCTGACATAGGATTCTTAATGAGTAATATCAGTTTACGATAATGCGTATTTAACAATGTTCATTATGCGAGGGAAAATCTCCCTCTGACAGCAAGTACAGGGTTTAGTCTGGTAAAGACAGATGGCACTTGGGTCTCCCACATGAATACAAGCAATGCTGCAAAAACCTGGGTCACAACTACTGTTGCATTTAACTGTCACAGTCTTTAAGGTGCAATGACAGTGGCCATTCTCTGGAAACTTTGGAACTAACGATGAATAACAGGTACATGAATTTAGGCAAAATGGTAAGCTAGCATAAGCTCCTGACTCCCTCTCCTGGCCCAGAGTGCTGGCAGCCCAGTGGCTAATTCAGGGCACCATACACTCATGAGCTTTGTCATCCCATCTGACAGATAAGAAGACAGACTCAGAGAGCGGAGACAACATGGAACTGGTCACGGAGGAGCTGGTCTGGGCACAGGCTGTTGACTCCAGAGTCTAATTCCCTACGCCAGCCCCATGCCGTGGCCTTGTTGAGTGAATGAATGACTGATGTGATATCTTACCTCTTTGGCTTCATTTTGTGCTTTCATATTTTCAGCAATGTACTTGACACTTTGGATGGCTTCTTTGATTTCTGGTGACAGAGCAGAAAGTGAGAGCACAGCGTCGACAGATTCGGTGCTGGAGCTTCTCGTGAGGTTGGCGGTGAAGTTGGAGATCTTTGTCTTGCGGTGGTGGCAGTACCCACACAGACCGTCCGGGCAGGGCTGGCCTTCCTTGCAGCCCTTGGACCCTGTGCGGCTGAAGCAGTTCAGGCTGGAGAGCTCAGCGCTGTGGACTGGTCTTGGCCTCGGTGTGTCACCCTCATTGCCTGCTGGCCTGGTCATGAACATGACCCTGGGAAGCAAGGTCAAGAATATGGTCTTCACCCATGTGGGCATCGTGTGTGTGGTGGGGGTCCTGTAGTGCACATTGAGCACGAAGACGGTGATGACGATGGACAAGGTGACAAAGATCATGGTGAACAGAAGATACTCGCCAATCAGGGGGATGACCAGTGAGGTGGAGGGGATGGTCTCAGTGATCACCAGGAGGAAGACGGTCAAGGAAAGGAGGACCGAGATGCAGAGAGTCACCTTCTCGCCACAGTCAGAGGGCAGGTAGAAGACGAGCACGGTGAGGAAGGAGATGAGCAGGCAGGGGATGATGAGGTTGATGGTGTAGAAGAGTGGCAGGCGCCGGATGTACAGCGAGTACGTGATGTCCGGGTAGATCTCCTCACAGCAGTTGTACTTGATGTCATGCTTGTAGCCTGGGGCTCGGATGATGGCCCATTCGCCGCTCTCCCAGTAGTCCTTGAGGTTCATGGAGGAGCCGATGAGGACCAGGTCGATTTTCGCCTTGTCATAGGACCAGGACCCGAACTTCATGGTGCAGTTCTGGTAATCAAATGGGAAGTAGGTCACATCGATTTTGCATGAGCTCTTGAAGATGGCTGGAGGTATCCAAGTCACTTCCCCTGTGTACTTGAGCAGAGCTTTGGTCTTGTCGTCCACCTGGAAATCCCCAACTGCACTGCAGAGACAATGAGGAGGCACATGGTCATTGCAATGTGGTTTCTGGTCCAGCTGTCACGCGCCAGCAGGTAAATGCTAAGCAACAATGCATACACTGGAATGTGAGGGCTCTGAGTGTGGTGAAAAGTCACCTGTTTCACCACCCCACGTACCAATGCAAACACTGAGGCCCAGGACCTGCCCCCCTACACACACACGCACACACACACGCA